AAATTCTCTTGAATATGTCCATTTCATTTCCAAATCGACGTTTGAAGTGAGAGATGCTTGCAAATGAGAGGACGACGAAACCACGCATCGACTTCGGTGGCAGTATCAGACATCCATCAACGCGATCCACGACACAGCACACAGACTTGGTACCAGCAGAATCGCAAAATGCACTGCGACGAAGACATCTCATCCACGTGTCAGATTGTGTCCAGGCAAAGAAGAACTGCAAGCCATCTGGGACGACCCACCCGGCAACGCGCCAAACATCGATGACGATGGCGATGCTTCTTGGGGACCTGTCGTTCTGTGTGCTGCCATCACGTGGAACGATTTCCAAGGATGGCTCAACCGCAACGAAGGGCGAGTGAGACGATGGGTCTTTGAGCCCCTTGCAGATGGAACGGGGAAAGGACGAGTGGTCTTGTACAGCATCACGTCCATCGTTCACTCGAAAACAGCAGGTCAAATCGCAACCGCCATCCGCGATCAAGTCGCACGGACCGGGAATGACTTTGACCTGTTGGATACAGTTGACCTAGCAACTGATCCTACATGCCGCACTGGAAATCATGGTCAAGAACCAGACTGTTGTCGTATTCCTGCGGGTCTGGCAGTTGGAGGAGCGGTGCTGGAGGCTGCCTGCAGACAACCATCCATACCCCAATGTCATTGTTGAAATCGCCTACAAGAATAAAGCCCTGGGTCGACTCCGTGCGAAACTTGTGCGTTGGATGCACAACACTTCTGTCCAGGTTGCGATTGGAATCAAAATCAATGCTATCAACGCCGATCGAGTGGCAATCTTGTGCCAGCGTGGGCAGCCCAATCAAGAAGTGGAGTTTGGTCATCCTCGTTCGCCTCCACTAGCGATTTCGTTTCCACTTGCTATTATCTACACTGGTGTTGCAATGCCATCAGCTTGGCAGCCCTCGCGAATCCCCAGATTTCCATTGACCTGATTGCCTTGCGGACGTTTATTGATGGAATCCTCTTAGAGGAAGCTGGTAGTACTCTAGCCGTAGCCCAAGCTCCTGCGACAGATTGATTTATTTTAACGATGATAAGTTAACAGTCTTGGTTCTTCATTCGTGGAGTTTCAATATTCGGACCATTTTGGGATTTTTTCACACCGATTAAAAAATATCGTGGTATTGTGGTGGCTTAGGGTGCCAATAATGTCCGCGTTTACTCCACTCTACATCACTGTACTCAGCGCTAAGTGTATAAGAGATTGTAACTTCATGAATGAAAAACCAAGGCTGTTATTGTCGATTTGATACAAATTTGGGGAGGGGGTGCAACGAATCGCGCCGACCAAACCGATCCACGATCACTGATTTCCATCATACCAACAGATCTCTTCTCGGTGATGAACCATGCCTTTTGGAGTTTTTCCAATGTCAACGCAGCCAATTCACCCCGTCCCGCTTTATCTTCAGCCTTAAAAAAATTCGCGCTCTCAGGCAACACAACCCCCCGCAGGAAGGGGCCATGCGTTCGGATTCGTTCACGGACAAGTGACGCCTCGTACAGTGGCTTGAAATCGGACCGTACGCCGTTCTCCATCACAGCAGCCATGAACACCAGCTCGTCTTCGCAAGGGCATTCCATGTACTTCACGGCGGCTCTGGTTTTGGAAAATTCCTTGTACCGGTCCTTCAATGGCGACACTGTAGCCCAAACACGGCCATCCGTGATGCCACAGATCTCAATCTCATCCTTCGAAACACACGGTTCATACAGGACCAGCGTCCACTTGGAATCCATTGGATGCAACGAAGGTACATGCAGCGTCTCGACTGCGTAATAAAGTTGCTCGCGCTTGAAGAACAAATCGGCACGAAAACCTCGTTCCACGCGGGCAATTGATTGGATACTATCCAAACAACGACCACAATCGATCTGATTGGATGAATTGCATTGACAAGGTTTTGATTAATCTGTCAATCAAATCGACTAAAATTCCAACGAGAAACCACGCCACAACATGAAATTTCACTCGAAAGCACAATAACTTGTCATCGTTAAAATAAATCAATCTGTCGCAGGAGCTTGGGCTACGGCTAGAGTACTACCAGCTTCCTCTAAGAGGATTCCATCAATAAACGTCCGCAAGGCAATCAGGTCAATGGAAATCTGGGGATTCGCGAGGGCTGCCAAGCTGATGGCATTGCAACACCAGTGTAGATAATAGCAAGTGGAAACGAAATCGCTAGTGGAGGCGAACGAGGATGACCAAACTCCACTTCTTGATTGGGCTGCCCACGCTGGCACAAGATTGCCACTCGATCGGCGTTGATAGCATTGATTTTGATTCCAATCGCAACCTGGACAGAAGTGTTGTGCATCCAACGCACAAGTTTCGCACGGAGTCGACCCAGGGCTTTATTCTTGTAGGCGATTTCAACAATGACATTGGGGTATGGATGGTTGTCTGCAGGCAGCCTCCAGCACCGCTCCTCCAACTGCCAGACCCGCAGGAATAAGACAACAGTCTGGTTCTTGACCATGATTTCCAGTGCGGCATGTAGGATCAGTTGCTAGGTCAACTGTATCCAACAGGTCAAAGTCATTCCCGGTC